ATCCATCCATCCATCCATCCATCCATCCATCCATCCATCCATCCATCATCTTTTACCCGCTTCTCCCATTTTGGGTCACGGGGTCACTGGTGCTCATGTCCAGCAATCACTGTGTGAGGGGCGGGGGACACCCTGGACAGGTCTCCAGTCCATCACAGGGACACATAGAGACAAACGAGACAAACAACCATTCTCTCTCTCACTCACACCTAGGGACAATTTAGAGTTACCAATCAGCCTAACATGCATGTTTTTGGTCTGTGGGAGGAAACTGGAGCACCCGGAGAAAACCCACGCATGCACGGAGAGAACATGCAAACTCCACCCAGAAAGGGCCCCGGACTGGGATTTGAACCGGCAACCTTCTCACTGAGAGGCAGCAGCTCTACCAGTTGTGCCACTGTGCTGCCCAGAAACACATTTCAAGATAGAAAAAATTATAAATACGAAACAGGTTGAGCAGAATAAGTAAAGACAGTAGCAGAGTGAAGAAATGTTTGTCCTCCAGCAGTCTAAGCCTATAGCAGCAGAACTAAGGGACAGCTCAGGAAACCCAAGCCGACCCTAACTATAGGATTTAGCAAAAATAAAAGACGTAAACCTAATCATTAAAGTAGACAATGTGTCAGCTTCATGGACAGAAATTGGAAGTTGATTCCACAAGATAACTGAAAGATCTGCCTCTCATTCTGCTTTTGGAAACTCTAGAAGTAAACGTAAAAAACGTAAAGTAAAAAAAAAAAAGAATCAGGACAAACTTGAGTTCAAGTATTTATTTTAGTTTTATTTATTTTTCTTACCAATGCTTTGTGTTGCCATAGTAAAGCCTGGCTTTTTATCAAAATAATATTTTGTAACTTTTTTCTTTGTCTTTTAGACGAGGATCCATCACATGTTAATGACAAATGCATCATCACAGGTAAAGCATAATTCATAACAAATATTACAGTTTTTAGAGTGACAGTCACTTTCTGTTTCATTAAAAATCAAATAATTCTTTTTTATTTTACAGATTTGGAAAACAACAAAGAAATAAACTTTGGTAGGTAGGTAAGTCTTTTCAGACCCAAAGGAACTGATCTGATTAAAACACTCAAAAAGAACATGGATCTTTAGTAGTGGCTCCCGAGAGACTTCCCTGGGGAGGATTGTTGTCAAATACATGTTCAATGTGTAATTTATTTTAAGATTTATTTTATAAGCTACTTAAATTATCTAATAGGTATTTTTATGGTTAACTGACAAAGATTTGCTATTTAGTTACGTTACATCCTGCATAAAGTATTTTATTTTAATCAAAGTCTTTTTATTAACTTTTCATTTTGAACATGTAAAACACAAAGAACATAAAATCAGAAAAACCATCCCTTCCCTCCCACACCGGATCAGTCACACATACATCTTCACACACTTGTTTTTTTTTCTAGATGGATATGATACATGAGCTCTATTCTCCAGTGCATGTATGTTGGGGTGTTCCTCTGGCCAGGACAGAGCCAAAATCTATCAGATCCTTCTCATACTGGCTGAAGGACGTATCCACAGGGACCACCTCAAACACTGAGATTAATTCAATTAAATTCAGTTTATTTATAAAGCACCAAATCACAACAGCAATTTGTGTAGCCCACCTACACCCCTCTAAAGGGCCCCTGAGCTCGTCAAACGCTTCAACTCAAAACATTTATTTTTAAAAATAACCAACAACACAGGACTAAAGTTTTGAGCTTTAAGAACTTATATTAAATTTAAACAAAACAAAACATTCACAGTAATTCCCAATATTTTCAGTCCATAATAAAGTCTTTCAGTTTCTGATTATTAAAGTTTACATCAAATCAAGTGGGCCCACCCTCTAACATGCACCTAAGCTGGAATTTAGTTAAATTAAATTAGTTCAAACAAAATAACCCCCGTTGCAGGCCTGATGTGATGCTGTAGAGTGGAGGGAGTGTGGTACCTTCCTCCAAGGTCTAGATCCTCTGGAATGTCACCTGTCAGTCCCAGTTGAAGGAAAGATGGTGGGGATGTTCTCAGCTCCTTTACCCGTCTCTCGGTCCACCAGAAACAGAAAGGTCCAGTGAAGATGAAGTGCTCCAGCTCAGTCTTGTAAAACTCTCAGTTTGGGCTGTACTTGACTTCAGGAGGCTCCATGCCAGAAACTTTAGTTAAGTCTCTTTGAGTTAGTTGGGTTAGCCACAGGCAGTGACAGGACAGTGACTGGACAGTCACTGTCCAGTCACTTTGCCAGTGAATGTGAATGTCATAGTGAGCTATAAAACATAAACTCACAACTACTGTACTGCAAATTCTGTGTTGAAATAGTTACAGTAGTTCTAAAACCCAAAGTAGGGTTGATATTTTGATCAGACTGTCGATTTGAACGTCCTAAACATCAACAAAAACCCTTCAGGGACCCCGGAAGCAGCTGATGGGTACCGACAGTCCAAGCGACATGCGGCTCAGGTGGTCGCTGAGGCAAAAAACTCGGGCATGGGAGGAATTCGGAGAGGCCATGGAGAACGACTTCCGCACGGCTTCGAGGCGATTCAGGTCCACCACCATCCGGCGTCTCGGGGGTGGGGGGGAAGCGGTACGCCACCAACACTGTTTACAGTGGGAGTGGTGTGCTGCTGACCTCAACTCGGAATGTTGTGGGTCGGTGGGCGGAATACTTTGAAGACCACCTCAATCCCACTGGCACGTCTTCTACTGAGGAAGCGGAGCCTGGGGACTCTGGGTTGGGCCCTCCAATCTCTGGTGCTGAGGTCACCGAGGTGGTTAAAAAGCTCTTCGGTGGCAGGGCCCCATGGATGGATGAGATTCGCCCAGAGTTCCTTAAGGCTCTGGATGTTGTAGGGTTGTGTTGGCTTACGCGACTCTGCAATATTGCATGGACATCGGGGGAAGTTCCCCTGGATTGGAAGACCGGGGTGGTGGTCCCCCTATTCAAAAAGGGGGACCATAGGGATCACGCTCTTAAGCCTCCCTGGTAAGGTCTATTCGGGGGTTCTGGAGAGGAGGGTCCATCGGATAGTCGAACCTCGGATTCAGGAGGAGCAGTGCGGTTTTCATCCTGGCCGTGGAACACTGGACCAGCTCTACACTCTCAGCAGGGTCCTGGAGGGTGCATGAGAGTTTGCCCAACTGGTCTACATGTGTTTTGTGGACTTGGAGAAGGCGTTCAACCGCGTCCCTCGGGGGACCCTGTGGGGGGTACTCTGGGAGTATGGGGTACCGGGCCCTTTGATACGGGCTGTTAGGTCCCTGTATGACCGGTGTCAGAGCCTGGTCCACATCGCCGGCAGTAAGTCGGGCTTGTTCCCGGTGAGAGTTGGACTCCGCCAAGGTTGCCCTTTGTCACCGATTCTGTTCATAACTTTTATGGACAGAATTTCTAGGCGCAGCCAAGGTGTTGAGGGGATCCGTTTTGGTGGCCTTAGGATTGCATCTCTGCTTTTTGCAGATGATGTGGTCTTATTGGCTTCATCAGATCATGATCTACAGCTTTCGCTGGAGCGGTTCGCAGCCGAATGCGACGCGGCCGGGATGAAGATCAGTTCCTCCAAATCCGAGGCCATGGTCTTGAGCCGGAAAAGGGTAGAGTGCCCTCTCCGGGTCAGGGAGGAGGTCCTGCCCCAAGTGGAGGAGTTCAAGTATCTCGGGGTCTTGTTCATGAATGAGGGAAAAATGGAGCATGAGATCGATAGGTGGATAGGTGCAACATCTGCAATGAAGCAGGCGCTGTACATGTCTGTCGTGGTGAAGAGAGAGCTGAGTCAAAAGGCAAAGCTCTCAATTTACCGATCGATCAACGTTCCTACCCTCATCTATGGTCACGAGCTTTGGGTTGTGACCGAAAGAATGAGATCTCAGATACAAGCGGCCAAAATGAGTTTTCTCCGCAGGGTGTCTGGGCTCTCCCTTAGAGATAGGGTGAGAAGCTCGATCATCCGGGAGGGACTCAGAGTAGAGACGCTGCTTCTCCACGTCGAGAGGAGCCAGTTGAGGTGGCTTGGGCATCTGTTTAGGATGCTTTCTGGATGCCTCCCTGGTGAGGTGTTCCGGACACGTCCCACTGGAAGGAGGCCCAGAGGAAGACCCAGGACACGCTGGAGGGACAATGTTTCTCGGCTGGCCTGGGAACGCCTCGGGATTCCCCCGGAAGAGATGGCCCAAGTGGCTGGGGAGAGGGAAGGCTGGGCCTCCCTACTTAGGCTGCTACCCCCACGACCCGACCCCGGATAAGCGGAAAAAAATGGATGGATGGATGGATGTTTGGCTCTGACTTATTTTACTTACACACACATCTATATAATGTCTCAGAATCAAATACAATCAAGGCTTCACAGCAAAACCAACAAAAATGTATTACTTAAGAGACACTGAGGTGAATTGAATTGTTGGATTATTGAATATA